GTCTAACATGATCTGCATTGCCATGACAAACAGTATAGGTGAGATCGTACAGCCCATAGCTATCCCAATCTGCAACTCAGTCCACCTCGTGGTAAACGTCGAGGTAGAGAAGCGAAAAACGAACTTGGAGAAATATTGCTCGATCATTTGACTGATCTGTGTCGGTACGTGAAACATGCGAAGGGCTCGCCACAGTAGCCTATGGGGGACTGCCCCGTAGGCGTTGGCTAAGTCCAACCATATAACGTGCAAATCAGTTCTCTCATGCTTGGCTCTCTGAATAGCCTCCCAAATCATGGTCGCGTGTTCAAGGCACCCAGGAACACCTGGAATACCACCCTTCTGAACACTCGTATCTATGTACTTGTTAGTCATCAGATACTGTGTGAGCCGGCGAGCCATGACTGAGAAGAATATCTTACCCTCGACATTCAACAGCGAGATGGGCCTGAATTAGGAAAGACTCTTCGAGTCCTGCTCTTTGGGAATGTAGACCCCATTTGCCTTTGACCACTCTGGACATATGTGATTGCGGATCCACGCTTGTCTCAACAAGTCGTGAAGCATTTTTAGGATTTTCGGGCAACGCTTGTAAAGAACGTACGGGACACCGTTCGGACCTGGGGCAGACTTGCCGCTGGCCTTTTTCACAACGTCCTCAACCTCAGACCAAAGGGGAGGTACCATTTTAAATGGTACCTTCGGCACCGAAGGCTGTTTAAGACCGCTAAGGATCTCTGGATTGTCATCGAGAGGCTCTCTCCTCTTTTTGTCAGAGTACATCTTGCGTAGTTGTAGCTCTAGTTCTTCCTGACTGACAACCAGAGTCCTAGACTTCGGTTGCTCGAATAGACCTCGGGCAAACTGATACGGGTCCCTAAAGAATTTCTCTCGCTCCCGTTTGGTTCTTCGTCTGTTGTTACAGAAACGCTCAGCGCGACAGAGGGCACTGTGTTTGTTCTTTAAATGCAACCAAACTTCATACAGCCCCTCCCGTGCGCTGCCTTTAGCGGCTTTGAACCGTTTTCTGAGGGCATTCTTGTCTGCCCGACACTTCAGAATGTCCCTCTGCCTCCTGCTAGTATTCTGCTTGGCACCCGGCTGTGCCTTTACTACTGTCCCGAACTCGCGGGAGCAGTGTTCATATATTACATCACCAAATTTTGTAAGCTTGTCGCCTAGCGACTTCTTGTTTAGAGTTTGTTTAAGTACCTCACATAATGTAGCCTCCAACTTACACCACATCACCTTCTCGCTCGCAGGTGGAAACCTGATTCTGGAACGCACTTCTTCAGAAATCATCAAAGTGCTCCTCCGCAGTCGACGTCATGGGCCTCTCCGGGCGAGTGGGGTTCACCCTGCCCGTCGTACCCTGACGACTAAGAAACTACCACAGGAGTGGTAGTTTTGCGACGGTGTTTACTGCGTGGAGCACCCTCGCATTTCATTCTTCCGGCATGCGTTCTCAGACCATGCAACCCCGTGAAGCTTTTCCCACATGTACAGAGCCAGCCCGGACGTTGGGCGAGTATCTGAGTCCGGGGGCTAGCAAAGTCGTCACCGAGAGTATCAACTGGATTGGGCCCTTCATTCTCCCCCCCCCCTTTCGGAGGGCCCTGGGGGCATATTTCTTTCTTAGAATATATAACATTAGGGGTAATTAAAGTTGCTGTCGTGTCACAGTGTTATTTGCTGGTGGCTCAGTGTGGGTTCAAATTAACATGTCAGTTATAAAAGTGTTTTATTCAGTGATCTCCGCCTCCAGGGCATATGATGCTGTGACATTTTACAGAGTTAAAATGATAAATTATGGGAAAACAAGTGGCGTCATGTCATAGTGTTGGGTGCCAGTGAATAACCTGGAGGTCAAGTCGTCATGTAGACTAGTGATTTAAGGGGCTTTATGGTCACTAAGGGTCACTGCATACGATGCTGTGACATTGCATAGAGTAGTTTTGTGGTTATTTAAAGATCACTGCATATGGTGCTACGACTTATGTAAGAACAAGTTGGGGTAAATAAGGTGGATGTTGTGACGAGGTGTTAGGTGACAGTGACGCAGTAAGGGGATCAAGCTGTCGTGTCAGCTAGTTACATGAGGGGTTTTGGTGCTATGACTTTGTATAGAGTACAATACGAAAAATTATGTCAAAGGCTAGGGTTTCATGTAAATGTTAGGTGCGTGTGCTCAGTGAGTGAGTATGTGATGTGTCTGCTAGTTAGATGTGGGGTATTAGGTCCCCTGTGACATATGGTACTATGGCTTTTTATGAAACCAAAAAGAAAAATTGGGTAAATCGGGTTGGTGTCATGTGACAGTTTAAATGCGGATGTTCAGTGGGAAGTTCAGGTCACCATGCCAACTAGCTAGAGGAGGGGTTTATGTGTTGAGAGACACCATAAGCCGAACAGTGTACCTCACAACTTGGTCACTGGTCTTGGTAAGTGGTTCACGGAAGTTATTTGGGAAGTTGCCCAATGTATAGCACAAGTCGTTTACTTGTTTTCCTTGGTAAAACGAACCTTGAAGTTCCTTAGTAAGTCGCCTATTATCCTTGGAACACATTAGGTCACTTGATGTATTTCTCCTTTGGAATACATTAAGTTGATCAGGCTACTGTAATTGGTAAGTTGTTTCTCTGGCAGAGGTGTAATCACTTGTCAGCATGCGGGACATTTTAACTGAATTAACGCCTTTCTCATTTGGTACATCTTAAGTAGAGGAGTGTACTTCTCAAGTGGTTCACGGAAGTTCCTTGGTAAGCTGCTCAGTGCTCTTCTCTAACTGTTGGCTGGTTTTCGTAAGTCGTTCACTGAAATTTCTTAGTAAGTCAACCACTATCCACAGGATATCCTAAAGCCAGCTGTTCTTTAGTAAGGCATTGCTGTCTTGGTATACATTCAATTGCTCGATGCCTATCTCGTTTGTGACATCTTACGTTACTGAAAATACTTCTTACATTGCTCACTGATCTTGGTAAGCCTTTTACTGAAGTTCTTCGATAAGGTCGGCCACTATTTATGTTACACCTTAAGCCTGAGACTTCTTTCCCCCTGAGGACATCCTAAGAGTCTCAATGTACGTGACAACACTTTTAATTGCATTCCTTAGTAAATCTTTTCCGATGTTCCTTGGTAAGGCGTTTACCACCACCATCACCACCACCAACACCATCACATCCACCAGCACCACCACCAACACATCCACCACCACCAACACCAACACGTCCACCACCACCAACACCAACACCACCAAGAACACCTCCACCAACACCTCCACCAACACATCCACCACCACCAACACTTACACCAACACCACCACCAACACCTCCACCAACACCACCACCAACACTTACACCAACACCACCACCAACACCTCCACCAACACCACCACCAACACCTCCACTAACACCTCCACCAATACGTCCACCACCACCACCAGCACCACCACCAATACCACCATAACAACCAAAATCTCTAAAGCACCAAGTGCTTTTAATTGCTGGTAATCTTCTCAAATATGAAACATAGAATAAAGTAAAATAAGTAGAATAGAACGTAACATACTGATAGGAAAATATATACACGCACATTTATCGACATACAGACATAGACAAATATAGGTACCACGTTCTATGTATGTGACTATAGGGGAAGAATATAGAAACGCAATACGACAGAAACTATATATAAACATAAAGTCAGACAAATTTTGGCATGACAATATAGACAATACATATCAGCAATATGTACATGAAAAAAACTAGACATGCAATGGCCACTCACAAATACAGACACTGAGCAGTGAAGCCGATGTGAACGTTTAGAAAGATATCGTAGTCTTTGTTTGGTTACAAGGATCGAATTTTATTTAGCAATATTCGACAGTCCCGTTTTGTTTGCTTCCAGACTGGATGGTTTCATGCCCTGTCAAGCTAGACTGAAACAGACAAGAACAGAACAAAAAGGTTAAGGCAGGAGACACATTGAATTACATAAATCTAACGAGGTTAGTTTTATCCATCTAATGGACTCTATCTCCCCCAGTTATTAACGCTCGGCACAGATTTATCTAAAGATTTTCCCGTTGCTTCCATTGCTGAGGTTAGTTAGTTAGTTAATCAACAGATTGTTCTCATTGCACGTCGAACCATTCAGTCCATAAGTGCTCCGATCCCCTCCTCAGTAAATCCCGCAGCGTGTAGTGGCTAAAGACACCAGTTCTGTGTTGATTTAAAATTCTTCTTTGGCTACCCGCGTAGTGTTCTTGTTTGGTGACACCCCGTTTAACATGTTCTTGCAGTCTGACCATGGTTGCAGATTCACAGTTCTCAGTTGGTTCACAAAAATGACTTAACACTCTTAGAGCGTTCAGTATATCAGTCTGATTCATGGCTTGTCCGGCTTTGACAGTAGCCTTACCTTGTTAAGGTATGAGAAAGAACGTATGTTAGTGTATCAGTGCTTGTGGTGTATATGAGAGTGTGTGTATCTGTGTGTATGAGTGTAACAATATGCATCTGGTAATCTGGTAATCTTAGTTTCAGCTTCATAGCAAACAGGTCACCCCACAGTTGCTTCGCTCCTGGGCCAACGAAAAACACACAGAATGTTTATCACAGTCCCTTGTGGAACGATTGACAGACTGCTGTCTCAGCATATGTACTAGCACAATCAAGCGTACAGTATTTACCTACAGACACAGACCAGCATAGACAGGCACATATACCCACAGACACAGTCCAGCATAGACAGGCAGATATACCTACAGACACAGTCCAGCATATATAGAGAGAAACAGACCTCCATAGAGAGAGACAGACAAAGGCAGTCACAGACCATTATAGCAGACACAGACCACTACAGACAGAGAGTCACAGACACCGGCCATCACAGGCAGACAGACAGAGACCATCATGGAAAGAAGACATTGATACACAAATAAAAGCAGACACCACAGAGACATATCACGTTTGACAGACAAACAAACACAGACAGACCCCTGCTGCAGTCCACCTGTGCGCATCTGAGACTGCCCTCTACACATGGGCAGTTAAAGCAAGAACGGAGTGTGGAACCTTGGGAGGTGACCGTTGTTTCCCTGTACATGAAATCGCTGATGCACGTTCTGCCCTGCAAACGACCGATGTCCTCCGCAAGGCCTGGCACAAGATACGAGTAGATCTTTATTATTAACAATATCAATATCAACAGCATTATCATAATTATCGTCACAACATCACCACATCTTCACCGCAACACCTTAACACCATCACCACCACACCATAACACCATCACCACAACACCTTAACACCATCACCACCACACCATAACACCCTCACCACCACACCATAACACCATCACCACCACACCTTAACACCATCACCACCACACCATAACACCATCACCACCACACCTTAACACCATCACCATCACCACACCACAACACCATCACCACCACACCATCACCACTGCACAACTACCACATCATCATTAAAATGACAACCACACTATCACAACCTCATCATCACCACAACACAATCACCACATCATCATTATAATCACCATCACAACCACATCATCACAACACAATCACCACATCATCATTAGAATCACATCCACACTATCACAACCACATTATCACCACTACACAATCACTAGATCATCATTATAATCACCATCACACCAGAAGGATCACAGGACATTTGAAAAAAATAAATTCTGACCAGGCTGTTAAAGGAAAAGAAAAAAGAGTCGCTTCTCAAACCAGCTCAGTTAAACATTCAATGTACAATTATGGCTGCCCTCGCTTCAAAACGACTCAAAAATGTTACACTGTTTGCAAGCTGGTCAGTCATAAAGCGTAGTGGTTTGACACGGTTATGTGGATGCAAGCACCATTAGCCGCCTTTGTAGAAAATGGCTCAGTGGAAGACCCGATGTAACGTGGAAGATCTCGAGTCACAGGACCTGCCCTAAAACCACTTCATACAGCTTCGTCACCTCAGAAATAAACAGATGTATCTGCGTAGTGCATAGTCGGGTCATGTCAGCAGTTCGTGGCCTTTTAGCAGAATCAATAGACTGTTGGGAACAACTGGAGAAAGGTTTCGCTTGGTGACGAATCAGTCTTTGTGCTCCAGGGTCACGTCAGAGGGAGAAGGGTTTGCCGGAGAGTCCATGAGCGCTAAGTTCAGAACAGTGCGGATGAGACCCCTCAACATGGTGATGAGGATGACTGTTGTGGGGAGCGATCAGCTTCACGTCAACCGAAGGACGCTTGAACACCCAGCGATACGTCGCTGAAATTCTTCGTCTTCGCATTTATCTTTTTCTGCTGCATGCACGAGGGTCGATTCTTCAGCATGATAAGGCTAGACCTTATGTTGCACAACTCAGCATCCATTTTCTTGCCGACAACAATATCTAGACCACATCATAGCCAGCCTTGTCATCTGATATGAAACAATAGAACTCTTGTGGGATGAACTCGGCAGATGAACCAATCGTGGCTCCATCCATTCTCCAACAGTGGTCTCTTGCACTCCGAGAAGAGTGGGAAGCCGCACCACAACAACAGATCGAACAGCTCATCACATGGATGACAGAGAGATGCCGTTCTCAAGCAGAGGCTAGAGGAGGCCATACACCTTACTGAAACTCAGGTGACATTCGCAAAGAATAAAAGTGCAAACCAAATATAACGAACAACATCGCATTACCGTACTAGTTCTTTATGTCAAAACTGAAAGATTAATTTCGTCAAATAGTTTTCTATTATAAGTCTGAAGTTATCTGTTTATTACAACAGGAAGAGTTGCGTTTTTGTTTGTCAACAGTATAGTTACCCCGTGCGACGACTCCAGCCTCGGACATGGCTGCCACAGCCAGCAGTAGAACCATCACGTGCAGCACAAACATCTCTGATTGGTCGCTGAGAGTAGATCAAACTTCAGTCAACACTCGCTCAACAACTTCTACCACTGGCTGTTTTGTTACAGTTTTTATACTCTTTCCCTGCCAGCTGCTTCTCCAGGACTGCTTCTTTATCAGTGGTTTCCAAACTTTTTTTTTTAAAGTATAATACAGTTTAAAAAAAAATTAATCTTATGGCATTGCTAATGCGATGATTGAAACTGTAATGGATTAACAAGCTTACACTTGTGCAGTTGGGTTTAGATTGTTGCCAGCCTCCTGTCATTCTCAACAAATAGTTTCCCCTAATATAAGTATTGTCGAGAATTCAATCTCACTGAGACAAAAAAAAAAAAAGCTGCAGAGGATGAAACTATAACAGCAGTCATGACGATATATAGTTATGACCGAACCACACGAGTAATATTGCAGTCAGTTATTTGACATACGAAATAACAATAACCTATTTAAAATATCTGTGCTTTTGTGTGTGAGTGTGTGTGTGCGTATGTCTGTGTTTGTGCGTGTGTGTGTAAGTGTGTGTGTGTGGGGTGCGCTTGCGTGTGCCTGTGTTTGTGTGTGCGTGTGTGTGTGTTTGTGAAAAAAGAGGAATAATTAAAGTTGTTTGAATTCACTGAAATAAGAAAGCAACGTTACCTGCTCTATTAAACAGTGTTTCATGTTGAACGAAGATGACCAGTACGAGCCGGACCCGCCGATGACATTTGGTTGATTTAGCTAGGTTGTCCGGAAACTGACCACTCTGAGACAAGGATGACTGGTTTCTGGACCCTACAGCAGAGTTCTGTTCATGGTTGATTGCTGGAGAACACAGTGAAATAATGCCATGTGATGGCTTCAGGTCTTGGAAGCATAATCATCTAATTTATCATGTTTTGCAGAACCAAATGGTATCGAAGAAAAAATTGTTGCGTCCGCAAGAAACAAGGCTAGGCACAGCGCGCGTGTATCACTTAGAACTGGCCGATCACAAGCACATTCAGCAAACAAATCTCTGTGCGGGTGAAGTCAGGAAATTGTTCATTTTTTGTCTTCTGTTTCTACAATTTTCATTTATCACAACCGCCTGTTGAATCCGGGGAAACCTCTCGCGACACTTTTTGGAGTCACGACCTATGCTTTGGGAACCCGTGTTCTGTATACTAACAATATGCAATTTGCTGCCATCACGTGTCAATCTCGTGTGGTCTAACACTGGTCTTGTTACATCCAATAGTTGAATACAGATAGGACATTAATAATTTTTCGCTGACTTTTCTGTGTCTGGTTGGTCCATAAAAGTCAGCAGCAAGTCAGCGTGACCTCAAACTGTTACTGTTACTGTGAAGAGATGTTTTTCCCGCCCATTGACCAACAACTGTTGCATCAATTCTAGCAGTGAATCAGTTACATCTAAAAATCATATGCTCCGCTCTCTAGCGTCTTTGCTGAACATGACTTCGCGGAGATTGGGTGACGAACTCCTTGTTGTCCGGGTTCACTCCCGGGGGTAGGCAGAAAAGCCACATTTTCTCCAAGATTTACGGTACCTATCATGGAATCAAGGCCGAAGGGTTGCGATATCCGTAGTACCGAGCCAAAGGGTTAACAACTCATGGGGTATCTGGATATTTAGAAAAAAAAAAATCACAATTACAGCTCTTTATATTCTTTAGAGCACCAACCAGCATAACGTAGAAACAAAAAAGTCATTAACTGAGAACAGATGTATAACTTTGGGAGAAAATTAGCAAAATGTAGAGAAAACATAAGAAAACACGTAGAGCACATAGAAGGAAAAACGCAGAAAATATTACAAAGAACACAGACAGAACGCTTGAAGAACATTGAAAAATCAGTGAGGGAAAGTTAAGAGGGCATAGAGAAAGAACTAGCAGGTAATTAACAAAATATGGAGAGGGCCCACACATAAAAATAGTTATAATATGCCATTTATGGCACACTGGGCATGAATTCCTCTTCTACGTCGTTTAGAAGGAGGCCAGGTTTTATTAAGATTTACACAGAGGTTGAAGGGGATTCTCTACTAACACCCCATGTATAAAAACGTTCACTATAGTTCGTTCAACAATAGATAAACACACGTGCAAGCCATTTTCTCGAAAACTTCCTGTTAGATCGCCATGATTTTTTTTTTTTTTTTTGCAGGCAGCCTTAGAATATCCATGGTGTTGAGGAAAATATACAATGACCTTGGCTCCCAGGTCGACCCAGCCTTGAGTCTGTACCCGGTGCAGTCCCGGGAAGTAAAGGTAGCTAGCCGGTGTGATGCTGACCACATCACCCATGTTGTGCCGATTGGTCTATAAAAAAGATCGGTCTAGCCCTATATGCCCTATACGCCTGAAGGGTCCTTTACTTTACCTTTTTTAAGGAAATTACGGTTTTTCACTAAAGAAGAATATCATGTGTAATTTTTGATTTCTATTTTTACGAAAAAATTTTTATTATGAAACTGTCTTGGGAGAACTTTGGAGGGTTCACTTCCATTAGTTTCGATAAGTAATGCACACTATGACTGGTTTAACAGGGAGTCTAAGAAAACCTATGCAGTTTCATGATTTTCTAGGGCAAAGTTGGACTCTTAGTGACCGGAAGCCAAAATAAGACGTCGGTCAAGGTTGTTTAGTCAAAGGAGCATCCACAAATTAGTGTTGAGTTATAGAAGTGTAGAGAAACAGAAAAGAGAACAGCTTTAATTGTCGCGATGAAGGACAACAACAATGAGTTCATCATTGGCTGCATTACCAGGTCATATTTTTGTGTCCCTGGTGATGTGAGAAATGACACCTGTAAAGTATGGATATCAAGTATGAAATCTGCTGCCTGAGGGACGTGGTCGATCAGATAAACGCTTACATTAGAGTTTAGAGCCTTTATCTGTCTGTTTACACTTCAGCGTGAGAAAATAATCGTTTATTACCAGTGTTTTTGTGAATATTGCATGTTTAACTCTCATTATAAGCAGTTTAGTTATAAGCCAGCAGTTGTGTATTGGTGTACTCTGAGTGGGAAGTTAATTTATGTTGAAAACTAAAGTCGCGAGTTGATGTTGTCAACAAAAGTTGTATTTTTGATGCATATTGGAGTCTAAAATTGATATCGTTTTTGCAAGTTTTAATTTTGATTTGCTGAAGTAACGTAAAGGACATATGATGCTAGGCTGGTCGCTTGTAACAAATCACTTGATATGTGATGTGGTAACTCTACTTCCCATGATTGTATG